ATCCTATATCCAATATTTAGAATTGGAACCATGCAGAAGCTAAATTTGAAAAAAAAAAAAAAAAAGATTATTTTCCCCAAATTTAGCTATTTATCATTAAATTTTCGGTAAATGACAAAAAAATATGGGGCCTGTCTCCTCAATTGGGGAAAGGGAAATAGGCCCATTAAGCCCCCATGTGGGCCTGTCTAGGGCTCCGTTTCGCACGAAATGGCGGCCACAACAGGTCTCCTCTCTCACCTACTTACTATGTTAATAACACCAACGTTTCCCAACTGCATTGATTTGTAATATTCTAAATCCCTTCAAGGGCACAGTTGCTCTGGTTTTGAGGATTTTAGGGGCTCGATCAGGTGGGTTTACGGTAAAAATTTGCTGCTTTTCGAGGTCTTTTCTGGCTTGTATTCTGTCGGAATTCGGAAAATGTTTTTGGTCGATTGGTTCTATGGAGTTCTTGCGTCCCTTGGGTTGTGGCAAAAGGAGGCCAAGATCCTTTTCTTAGGGCTTGATAATGCTGGAAAAACGACCTTGCTTCATATGTTGAAAGACGAGGTGCATTTCTTTGTGATTTTTTTGTTATTTCACTTTTCTTAATCTGTGTACATGATTTAAAATTGATGAAATCCATTCGATGGAGAGATAGCAATGTTCCGCGTCTTGAGACGCTCGATTGCTCGCTGTTTTTAAATTAATTCAATTGATGTATGGATTCATGTTTTAGAAAACATCAAATGGTTACTTCGCCATCATTTCTCAAAGTTTTCTTAAATCTGATTTGTTGATTAGATTTACTAGAATGTGAGGTTTTTACTTAGCGGCTAATATAAGAGTTGTTGTCATATTGCAGAGATTAGTTCAACACCAGCCGACTCAGCATCCAACTTCCGAAGAGTTGAGCATTGGCAAGATAAAGTTCAAGGCCTTTGACCTTGGAGGACATCAGATTGCTCGCCGAGTTTGGAAAGATTACTATGCTAAGGTATATTTGATTTGAAAGATCTCACATCATAGCTGTATTTTATTTTGGTTAAAAGATTCAGTTGACCGAGTAAGTATTTTTCTGTAGAATCTCGGTTTGAATTTCTTGAGAAATGAAAATTTTGAACTCCTGCAATTTTTAAACTCGAAGTTGTGAAATGTGTTCAAACACTGAACTATCTCATCAGTTCCAAAATGTTTCCCTGCCCTCATAATCGTAGACAGATCTTTTTATGTTTTTTCTGCTTTTAGTATTTAGTTGTACATTTTTCTTGTCAGTCCGAACTGTTTTTCGAATGGAAATTATACTTGAACATATGTTGATTTCCTCTACCGTTGCGGTTATTTGATATTTGAACTTCCTTAACATTTCCAAATGTTTTGCTGCCTTCATAATCCCAGACAAACTTTTTTTGTATTTTTCTGATTCATGGGAGGCAGAAATTACATGGTATTTCGCTGATAGCATGTCTTCTTGTTGAAAAAGGTCTGCTTATAGTTCATAACCATACATTTTTATCTTAATTCCTACCGTTCAAGTGATACTTACTGAAGTTTTCTACCCCATTTATGATTTACCATATTTGTGTTCCCATTTTACTCCACTTCTGCCCTCTCTCTGGAGGAAAATTGGAAACCTTTGATTCCAAATGGCAACTATGGTATCAACATACGACGTAGTTATTTGAACTCTGTACAATCTCTCTGTGTTCAAATATTACCCTGCCTTCATAATCCCAGACTAACCTTCTTGTGTTTTTCTGATTCATGGGAGGCAAAAATCATGTGGTTATTCGCTGATAGCATATCTTCTATGTAAAAGGATTTGCTTTTAGTATATAACCATACATTTTCCTTGTCTTCAAAACTTTTATTAACTTTAAGTAATACCTACTAATATTTAATACGACATTTACGATATTTGAATCTGAAGTGCCACTGTGTTACTGTATTGCCTTCTTCAAGGAGGAAGGATTGAAAACATCGCTTCCAAATGTGTTAACTATGGTTTCAGTGTGCTTGATTTAGTCTACCTTTGCAGTTATTTGAACCTTGAACCAACTGAGTGTTTTCAAAATGTTACCCTGCCTTGCTAAACCCGGACAAACCTCTTTGTGCTTTTTTGACTCATGGGAGGCAGAAATTATATGGTTATTCACTGATAGCATATCTTCTCCTTGAAAAGTGTCTGCTTTTAGTATATGTCCACATATTTTTCTTGTCACCTAAACTATCCTTGGACTATGAATTGTACCTACTGGTATTTTGTAAGACATTTACCATATTTGAAATCCGATGTACTGAATTACCACATTGCCCTCTTCGAGAAAAGACTGAAAGCTTTGATTCCAAATATTAGCAAATTTAATGTACATCCTTTTGTCTAACCCGTTGCAGTTATTCAAACACCGAACCCCATCTCAACGATTTCAAGACATATCCCTGCCTTCATAATCCTATACAAACCTTTTTTGTGTTGTATTGCCTTCTTGTAGGAGGAAATTGAAAGTTTTGCGGTTTTAACATACAAGTATGTTAGCCTCTGCGATTTTTTTCTCTCTGAACAATCTCATTGTTTTTAAAATGTTTACCTGCCTTCATAATCCCAGACAAACTTTTTTTTTTGTGGTTTTCTGATTCATGGGAGGCAGAAATTTCATGGTTCTTCGCTGATAGCATATCTTCTCACAGAAAGGATATTCTTCTAGTACATAACCGCAAATTTTTCTCATCACTAAAACCATTCATCAACAATAAATTATACCTACTGATATTATATATGACAATAACTTCTTTTGAGATCCCAAGTGATTGATTATTGTAATGGCTTTTAGGAGGAGAAAAAGTTGTTTCCCTTGCTTTCAAGTACTATGGTTTTAACATGCATGTTGAATTCGTCAACCTTTGTGAAACTGTACCGATAATATGTGGCCCTTTACATGTTTCAAAAGCATTTGTATGCTGACCTTATCTTACTTAGGACAAGCTCTCTGTTTTGAGCTGTTTAGTTGCTATTATATGATCTTATATGCTATTAGCTGAGTTCATTTAGTCTCGTGTTATGGTTCCTTATCATGTTGTCATTGTTGTGAAGGTGGATGCAGTAGTTTATCTGGTTGATGCATATGACAAGGAGAGATTTGCCGAGTCAAAAAAAGAGTTGGATGCCCTCCTCTCCGATGAAGCATTGGCAGACGTTCCATTTCTGATTCTAGGTAACAAGATTGATATTCCATATGCTGCATCAGAAGACGAGTTACGGTACAACTTGGGACTAACAAACTTCACGACTGGCAAGGGCAAGGTAACCATGTCTGACTCGAACGTTCGTCCTCTCGAGGTTTTCATGTGTAGCATTGTGAGAAAAATGGGTTATGGGGATGGTTTCAAATGGCTTTCTCAGTACATTAAGTAGTAGATTTTATTTTGTTTGTGCTGAGAAACAAATTATTTGTTCAACCTTTACTGTCTCACTGTTCTCTGTTGGTATGAATCTATTAGGGGTAAGATTTGTTATTACCTTTTTCATTCCCAATTGAAACTCCCACACCAAAATTTGATTATAAATGCTGTGTAGTGAACTGGCTACTCTATTCTTCATTGCTTCTCTCCCTTTACACTTATCGACACGTATCTCTTCATCTCATACTAGAACGTCTTTATGATATGGCCCATATATTCTTTAAACCACGGATTGATTTGTAGTTGATTTGAGCCTAGTTCAAATGGTTAAGACATCTTTCTTTTTTTTTCTTTTCGTATGCTTGTATATTCATTTCTTTTTTCTCGATAGCATTTTGGTTTTGTTCTCGAAAAGGAAATAATAAGAGGTTTGAATCTTCTCTCTTCATGTTTTAGATGATGGAATAGGATTTGATTTTGATATAATTACCAAAGAGAGAATTTATTAGTGAACCAAAACAACTGAAGTGTAGATTTTGGTGTAATTATCCAAAATGTTATTTTATATTCATATTCTAATTTTTTTTATTTACATTTTATGCATATAGCAATTTGGCTCAATAAAAATAAGGAGAAAAAAAAATTAATTTTGATTTTAAATTAATTTTAAACTAATAATTTGATTTAAAACTTCAAAAAAATAATTTAGACCTATTAATAATTTTTCTTGATTTGAAAGCTTTTCAATTTAGCTAAATTCTTAAAGTAAAAAGTTATATATTAACAATTTCAAAATAAAATACCTGATTAAATTCTTAAAGTAAATATTACCCACGGAAAATTAGGTGTTATTGAAGACGGAAAATATAAATAGTGGGATAATGCAAGAATAGTGGGAATGTAGCTCAGACGGTAGAGGTAGGGATCGATATCTTGCGTCTCCAAAAGAAAACTTTTAATTATTAATATATTTTGAAAATTTTCCTATTTAAGTAACGATATTTTTTCATTTTCACTGTTACTGATGACGGAAAATATAAGGTCATGTGATGCAAGAATAATGGGGATGTAGCTTAGATGATAGAACGCTCGTTTCGCATGCGAGAGATATGGGAATCGATATCCCGCATCTCCAAAATTAAACTATTGATTTATTAATATTTTATTTCTTTTGATAGTTTTCCTATTTATGACATATTAAACAGCGATATTTTTCATTTTCACTATTATTGATGACGTAAAATATAGAGTCTTGTAATGCAAGAATAGTGGGGATGTAGCTAAGATGTAGAGTGCTCACTTCACATGCTAAGAGGTACGGGATCGATACCTCGTATCTCCAAAAGAAAATTTTTGATTATTAATATTTTATTTATTTTAAAAACTTTCCTATTTATTACATATTAAGTAGCAATATTTTTTTTCGTTTTCACTGTTATTGATGACTGGACATTTAAAGTTATATAAAAATCATGGGGATGTAGCTCAAATGGTAGAGCGCTCACTTTGCATGTACTGAAATTGATACTCTGCATCTCAAAAAGCAAATTATTAATATTTTATTTCTTTTGAGAGTTTTCCTATTTATGACACATTAAACCGCAATATTTTTTCATTTTCACTGTTATTGATGATGGAAAATATAGGGTCTTGTGATGCAAGAATAATGAGAATGTACTCAAATGGTAGAGTGCTCGCTTCGCATGCAAGAAGTATGGGGATCGACACCCCGCATCTTGTGATATAAGACTTATGGGGATATAGCTGCAGCGAGTTGTTGATGACGGAAACTTTAGGGTCTTGTGATATAAGACCTTATGGGGATAATTCTAGAAGACTTGGGGCTTTCCCTACATGGTCTAAGAATGGTTGTAATTTTTCACCCCGAGATTACCCACTTGCACTCCGCCCCGGTGCTTTCTTGACGTTTTTTCCTCTCATGGAGCGTCGGACATTCTCAACATCTTCCCATCGTCTTTCTTCAGCCAATGTATTAGATAGCAACACATAATTACCAGAGTTCGATGGTTCAAGACTGATGAGCTCATTCACTGCCATTTCTGCAAGTTTCAAGTTACCATGAGTTCTGCAAGCACCAAGCAATGCACCCCACAAAGTGGCATTTGGTTGCATTGGCATACTTCTAATCAAGCTATGAGCCTCCTCCACGCATCCACCACGTCCCAAAAGATCAACCATACAACCAAAATGTTCAAGTTTTGGCTCAATCTCATACTTCTCAGCCATTGAAGAAAACACCTCTTGACCCTTCTCTAACAATCCTGAATGAACACAAGCAGTCAAGATGGCTACGAGTGTCACGTCGTTCGGCTTCGCATCCCCTTGTCCCATCTCCATGAAAAGGTCAATGGCAAGCTCTCCCTTCCCATTCAAAGCAAAGCCTAAGATCATTGTGTTCCATGAAACAACACTTTTGCAAGTCATTTTCTGAAAAATGTTGTAAGCTCTTTCTGTATTGCCAGATTTACAGTAGAAATCGATAAGAGAATTCCCTACCATTGTTGTATTCACTAAATCTGCCTTGGAAGTTGCATAAGAATGGATCATTTGTCCAACATCAATAGCTCCCAAACGAGAGCATACAGGCAACATTGTGACCACAGTTACCTCATCTGGTTCAAAACCATGTTCTTCCATTTGTTGAAAGAGTTCCAAAGCTTCAACATCACGCCCACTTTGAGCTAAACAGGAAATAGTTGTGTTCCAAGAAACAAGGCTACGATCATTCATTTGCCTAAAGAGAGACAACCCCAAATCAACATTACCCATCTTGCAAAACCCACGAATCATCAAGTTCCAAACAACCACATCCGTATGAGGCATTTCATCGAACACCTTCTGTGCATCATCCATCCTCTCACAACAAACATACAACTCAACTACCCCAATACGAATAGACCCAAAACACTCAAACCCACGACGCAAAACTTCACCAATAACACACTTACCAAGCCGATAATCATAAAGATTCGAACACGATTTAAGCAGCGGCGCGAAAGTGTACTCGTCAGGAACAATCCTGCGATTCTTCAGGGAGGAAAACAGGAGAAGGGATTGTTCGAAGGGGCCGGAAAGGGAATGGGCTTTAATCATGGAATTGAAAAGGAAAATGTTGGGATTTTGGGATTGGGAAAAGACGCGATTGGCATAGGCAATTTCGTTGAAACCTCCGCAAATGGAGATGAAATGGGCGAGGATTTGGTTGGATTGGTGAAGGTCATGACGGAGGAAGTGGGCGTGGATTTGAGTGAGATGGGTTGGGGATTTGTGGCCGGAAAGGAGGCGAAGGATTCTCCGCTCGATGTTCCGGTAGTTCTTGCTCATGTTATGGCGAATATTGGCGCCGGCGGGCGCTGGAAATGGATTTGGACATCCATTAAATAATATTTTGTTCATTTTGTTCTACATCCATTTTTAGTTTATTTATTTTTATTTTTATACTAAATAATTGTATCAATAAAATAAAAATAAATAATAATAAATGTATCCATATATTTTTTATTTATTTAAAAAAAGATAATAATAATAATTGTATCAATTAAATCTCTAAATTTTCCTATAATAGATTCCCTTCATAGTTTTTTTTTTTTTTAATTTCAATGAAATTTAACCATCTAAATTAATATACTTAAAAAATTTAAGGGCATAATTTTTTTTTTTTTTTTTTTAAATTCATGGACTAAATAAATATTTTATTTTAAAAGGGTAGAGATCAAAATATAATAAATAAAGCTAACAAAGCTTTTGCTTGGGAAGCGAGAGTTGAGATCGAGCTTGAAGACTTTTCAAAGCTGGAGTGAATCTCACATTTGAAAGTAAAACAAGCTTAATTGGAAGCAAATGTGTGAGATCCAACATCGGTTGGAGAGAGGAACAAAACGTTCCTTATAAAGGTGGAAAAACCTCTCATTCGTAGACGCATTTTAAAAACCTTGAGAAAAAGTTCAAAGAGAACAATATCATCTTACAGTGGACTAAGATTGTTACAAAATGGAAGCATCAAACTAAAAAAGCCTTTTAGACAATAACATATAATAGCGACGAAGCCTCTAAACTTGAAGATAGAGCAATGATGCTAGAAAATCGAGTGTTGACAGAACCTCCAAATTTGAAAACAGAGAAAATGAAAGCTTCTGAAATCGAAGATGAAGCGACAACGAAGCCTCTAAACGTCCTAATAAAACTTAACCGATACACGTAATTCCTTACCTTTTCGGGATCAATTTAATCTCAAAGTTGACCAAATTCATCCTGAGACATGAAGAAAAAGATATGTTAAGCTGTTCTATAAAACAAAAGGATATAGTAAGTGTACAGTGTAGAACAAATGTTGTTCTAAGTAAGGTCGTTAAGCTCAGCTCAGTCCAATTCTTCATTGTTCATACTGAAAACTCTCAAAACATACAACATACAGTTCAAGAGGCTGGGAAGGAAGAGCCCACGTTTAGACCTTCCTTTGCACATCACTTCAAATTAAATAACTCCACAAGAAGGATCACAAGGGCAAACGAATCGGTAATTGTCACTTCTTGGATGAACGGAAACCCCCGAACCCCATCATTGCTGCAACGTCGGGATCGACTTCAGGTTCCTCTTCTGCAGCCTTCTCTTTCTACAATCAGGGAGGAAAATTTAAGTGTAAAATGTGATCCTCTCTTTACCTGATGGAAATCGAATGTGCTTTTAAAACGGTGAGATCATAGTACTAACCTTCCTTTCTTTCTTCCTTTCTCGGCGCTCGCGCTTCCGTTGTTCTTCTTCTTCTTGCTGTTTTATTATACGCTCTTCGAGATCTAAATAAAAACAAAACGTAACGTCGGTTTTCATCAGTAAACAAATCATAATCCTGAAAATTGAAACAAAGAATAGTGATGATATCCAATGCTAGTATATTTTTGCAGTCAAAAGCACGACATGAAAACTAACTCAAATTCTTAGGCTTTACCTTGCTCTGTGAAGCTTCCGGGCGTTTTTCTCTTTTTAAGAACTTCAAATCGCTCCTGTACCTATTTCACATAAAGCTACTTAGCCCCTCCGACATCGAGATTTCGCAAATATCTACTGCAATAATGAACAGGACAAGTAATTCCATCTTTCTAAGTATTTGTAGTGGTACCTGTTCAAGAGATGCTCGTTCTACCCGCATGGACATACCCAAGGCTCTCTGATCTACAACATAAAGTCAATAGAAAAAACAAGATAATAAGACCTTGACATTTCACGAACATGATTGGTTAAAATTGAGTCGATAGGTCCATACGTTTCTTTCCATTGATGTGATCCAAGTAATTTGCAGAATCCTTGACCACGCATTCACAAACGGAACAGTAGTATCCAGCCTGAAAAAGAACTCGTTAATCAAAAAAAGAATAAGGTATTAAGTGAAAATTCTACTTCATTTCAAGAGCAGATTAACAAAAACCAGACAAGCAAAGCCACCTTCATTTTTTCCTCCCAGCTTTTCTTTTGAAGTCAATAAGTTATACACTACTTTAAATTTGAAATTTCTCTAATGTATTTCAAGATTTGACTTTAACACGATAGTTAAGCGTGATACCTGCTGGCTTAGAGGTGCGACTGGAGTGACAACCTGCACGAGGATGAATTAACAATCAATCCCAGAATGAAGCAGGTCAGAATCATATGATATTGAGCAGAGAAACTGAAATCTAAGATTAAATTTTGTATCATAATGAGGTACTAGTTGATTGCCTTTATTTGAGAGTGATTCCCCAATTAAAAGGTGAGTTCATCCAAACAGGCCAAATGAATATAACCTTTTAAATGTTTTTCCATCACTATTCAACGGTAACACGAATGATTAACTATAAAGTGAATATTCAAAATAGTCACTCCCATCATCATATAAATGCCTTACATAGGAATTCTCACATGTCAGCCAGTTAACTATGCACAGTGCAGATAATATGAAAATTAGTCTTCTATATCAAATCATGATGCCACATAGAACCTGAACTTAAAGCCAGATCAACACAGAGACCACAGGCCAAAATATGATGAACACAGACGCCACGGGCCAGTTAACTATGCACAGTGCAGGTAATATGAAAATTAGTCTTATATATCAAATCCTGATGCCACATAGAACCTGAACCTACAGCCAGATCAACACAGAGGCCATGAGCCGAAATATGATGACATAAAAGTTAACATACTAAAGATTTTGAAAGTTTATGCCCTAATGACAGAACAGGATGGAAAACAAACTATTAATAACTCAAAACAGCCTAAGCTAATACCACAGAAAGAAAGCCACAATTCCAAGAAATATTACCAAAATACACATTGATTCGAGATAATGTTCGAGGAACCAAAAAGGAATGGCATGACTAACCTGGGTTTTTCCCAATCGAGAATTGAGGTCTACCTCATAATCTCTATGTTTCAGTGGTTTTCTTTGCACTGGTGGACCTTTCACTGTTCAAAGATAGCAAATTAAATCCTTCAGAGACATCAACCAAGTCAGCAGATTATAGCATCGATGATTACAGATAAACAAGAGCACAAATACTCAACAAAATCCAAACACAGCAAGAAAGGAACCACTTACATTTAGACTTAACCCTCTCAGCCTCCTGAAATACAAGTTAAGAACATCAGAATCAGCAACATTTGAGAGACACTCAGAGAAATTAACAAAACATGATGAGAACGAGAAATTCCAAAAGCCGTAACCTGTTTTTCACGGTCACGAGCTCGTTCCAAATACTCCTCTCGATCAAATTTTCTTCTAAACGTGTTATCAACTCCAGCTGCCTACATACAAGGAATTGTACAAAATTAGTTCCAAAAAAGCCTAATCGTAATGCGATTAAGAAAGAGCAAAGGTTATCGATCATTTTTAATTATTTTGCTCATTTCATCAACTAAATGGGGCAGAATCAAAACCAGAACCAGAACCAGAACCACTTACAGATTATAACAAGGACGTAATATCAGTAAGCTAGGGTTTAAAAACGAAACGGGAGATTAGAACTTACAGTATTGCTGGTATGAGCCATCGCTGTCGAAAACAAAACTTGCCCTAACAATCGAAACTCAGATGGAATTCTTCAGAAAAACAAATCCGAGAGAATATCAATACGCAAACATAACCTAACATGAATAGATTCAAAAGCCAGAAGAACATTAGAAAACAAGACCATAAATTATAGGTTATCATTGAATAATTAGGAGAAGAAGACAAACAGGGCGTTTGGTCTAGTGGTATGATTCTCGCTTCGGGTGCGAGAGGTCGCGAGTTCGATTCTCGCAACGCCCCAAACTCCGATCGCCGGTCGCCGGATGTCTTCTTTTTTATCTCCTTTTTGCTCTCTGCTATTTTCACTGGTACGGTGGTTACTTTTGACGCTGATTTCAACACAAAGTATTTTTTTTTCTAATTTATTTAATTAGCACATTTTTAGGTTAAATTAATAAAAATAAGTTTGAGCGAAATTAATTTTTAAAAATGTTTAAGAAAATTAATGATATCTTTTTACCATTTTTAAATAAGGTATTTTTCAATCAAAGTATTAACGATTTCCATCCAAAACTAACGGTAAAATAATTTTTGAGAATTTTATAATAATATCATACCATTATGAAACTCTGTTGTCTCAAAAAGTGGCATCGGAGTCATACTCATAACTCAGTCATGTCAATAGAATTTTCAAGCGTCGAACAAAGTGTAGTCATGGTGAAGATTCGTGGTAGAGTTTTATTGGGTTATCGATGTGCTTTAGAGAAAAAAAGTTGGCTTAGATGGTGTAAGCTGAATAGATGACTACCTAAGTAGAGACTCAGTAACACTTTATTCGATCACGAGTATATAAGTAAGAGATACATACTACCTACGATTGGATAACACTGCATTTTGGGAGTTGGGCTGCAAACTTGGGCCCACAAAGGGGTGGACAACCATGGGTCAACATCCTTATTGGGCCGAAACTCAGGCCCATATAAGGGGATGGTTGGGTTGGGTTGGGCTGGGCTGGGCTGGACATGTTTTTAAGTGGGCCAAAGAAGAGAAACTGACAAAAAATAAGTGGGCCTAAGCTGGTTGCTGTGGGACTCCTTGGTGGATAGGATGTTGACATTGAAAGGCCTTCTCTGTTCTTGGTTGTTTGATGGGTCTTGTTTGTCATGCAAGAAAATGATGTTTTTGGATCATGGGAGATTTGTTTCTCATGCTCAAAATAAATCACTCCATCACCATCACCTTTTTCATGTTCGTAACGTGTTGAAGAATCTCGATTTCAACAGCGTTCTATTTTCTTTCCCGACGTGACTTTGATGTTAGCAGACGTGTTGATTAGAGTGTAACTTTGAGAAAACTTTGCCCG